TGAATTCATTAGTAAACCCCAATCATTTCCAGAGAATCGACTTGACCATGCCCTTCCCCCTTTCCAGCCGTAAAATATGAATGCTAAATGCTTGTGCATGTACGGATTCGACCAGTTTGACAGGAAACCAGTTATTTTTGCTTTATTGAATCATCGTGGTAGTTCGTAATAAGATCAGTGGGAAGGTGAAGAGTAGCCCTTGACCGTATTAAATGTATTTAAGGCATCTACGATCGTCTCTTGAGTATATGCTTTCATATCGAGTTTTTGGGACAGGTGCTTTTTTATCTTGTTTTTTAACAGTTGCGCCCTTCGAGTAAACATTACAATACGAGGTTAGAAAAGGAAAGCAATGGGAAAGCTGTTTTTCAGAAAGCCACCGGCTGCACCTGCTGTATTAGTCAGCATTTTAGGGTAGTTTTGAAGTTGACTAATAGAAATGAAACAAACCTCTAGCGGCTCCCCATGGTGATCGAATTCAAAAGCATTCACTTGTAAATAGGATTAGTATTGAAGGATAGAAGATAAACTCTTTTGGGCGTTGAACGTTCTCGTTTGAGATAAACGCCCCCGCATTCTACTTCGATTGGAATTGTAGTGGCGTATTCAGTGCATATATGGACTATACAATGACTTGCGGTGGCCAGCGGATGTACAGTCATCCTCCCAGATGTATCTAGTAGATTGAAGGTTTGGTTGGCCTAGGAGGATATTGATCCGGGATTCGAACCCGTGAACTGCGTATTTGATAGTGCGCCACTTGCCACTGTACGCAGGAATAGAACTAGAAAGTATACTCGAGTAAGCGGAAGCCTACTGCCGCTTCATCATGACATTCAGAGCGATAAGCAAATTTACGAGCTCCATATCCGTGTAGAATACAGTCTAGTTTGAGATTCCAATAAGGAGGCTCATTTGTGTTGTCTCCGTTAATTATGCTTCATTTGCAAGAGAAATTATTTCAGGAGCAACGCTCCATTTTCACAAACATTCGTGAAAACTACTTGGGAAGACCTCGTGTTTTCTTGACCTTAAAAAAACCAGGATCAGTCGTCTCAGCCATGTTCGTCATAGACGTCCTAATAATTGTGTTTATGCTTTCGTGCTGCTATTCGTTTTCTTAAAGTTCTCCTGTCTCAATCNATATCCGTGTAGAATACAGTCTAGTTTGAGATTCCAATAAGGAGGCTCACAGGAATTTTGTGTTGCTTCCGTTAATCATGCTTAATTTGCGGGAGAAATTGCTTCAGGAGCAACGCCCCATTTTTACAAACATTCGTGAAAACTACTAAAACCCTCGTGTTTTCTTGACCTTAAAAAAACCAGGATCAGACGTCTCAGCCAAGTTCGTCATAGACGTCCTAATAATTGTGTTTATGCTTTCGTGCTGCTATTCGTTTTCTTAAAGTTCTCCTGTCTCAATCGCCATATTTCTCCCTATTGCCCATGCACTGTTTTCCCTGCAAGCATTTTCTTCGGGACCGTCCTGCAACGAATTCATAAAGCTGTCTTGCTCATCATTTGAATTCTGTTTGTAAGTAGGTGTTCTAATCCTCCAGACACATTTAGGTGATACACTCAAAAATGCTTGATCAAATTTTCTCGTAATTGTCTCACAATCAGGAGTAATCTACTCTCTACTAATCTAGTAATTCTTCATTGATTGTTCCAACTCTTCTGAAGTTGGAACCTCTATAGAGGATTGCCCTTTCTTTCATCAAAGCTCTGATTAGGGTTTATTATTGAGCCTGTCATTTATGAAGTTTGTACGTGGGTTTCTGTGAATACTGGGACTGTTAATGACTATCATCCCTCGTGAATATCAAGAAATAGAATGCATGACACGGGTGATATATCTTTAGAACGCCTAATAGGGATTACTCTTCGTGCAACTCTGAGGGGTCGATTTCATAGGAGAGGTTTTTCACCCTGCCATCCTTACTTTATTGCTGATGTAGTGAGCTGCCCCATTGACAATCCGATTCCTAGGTGAAATCCTGCGAAGAAATCTAGGCTTGCTTTTCAAATAAAATAAGTTGTAATGGCTCTAGGGAGAAGTTCCATCCTAAAAAAATCAAGATCAGGTTGCTTGCTTGTTGTGAAAATGAGGTTGTGTTTGTTCCTATGGTAACGAAAAATAAAAAAACAAAGCAAAGTCATTAGCAGTGTTGGAAAATGTGAGCTTCCTTTCAGGAGAATTGGGGGTTTACATCCAAAGTGGTGAATAGGTTAGTGAAATGAATAGGTTTCCAAATAATCCCTGTAGCACTGCCTTACTTCGCAGCCCGCTATTTCTACCAAACACATCTTAATGGTGAGGAATGATTTAACCTTCCAGCTGATTGAAGAGGTCTTTATCGAAGATGACCTCAGCGCTATGTTTGACAGGCTGTGAAATTGGCATCTCATAAATCCCTTTCCAGAATCCTAACCAACGCAACACTCATGTGGCATGGTCAGCATCAGTGGACGACCTCCATTCGGCTCATGCTCATGCGTCCTTTTCCACATTGACGTCATCTCCCAAGTCATCTCAGCTCACATCAAGCTTCGACTCAGCCCTACCATCCTCCACTACACCCAACGACCTCATTGTTTCCTTGCCGAACAGTGTGGTCGAGTCAGCCAGACGAGCCTCTTCGCACGATGGAGGGAATTATCTGTAAGCAAAGAAATTTTCTTTTCTCTCATCCTCCAACAAAATCTTAAGGAACAACAGTATAGTAGAGGTACTTACCGTATCAACTCTCTGGTCGATAAAAAAGATCTGCACCGTTCCTGTTACTGAAAGGTCCTATCCAAAAAACTGCGACAGACTGCAAGGGGCAACAGAATTTTGAAAACCAATCGGAGCAAATGGTTTTTTCAACGAGAACGTGTTGGACCTCTTTCCCTTCTCTGCTATTTGAATTAATAAGGAGAGACCTTCATTGTGCCCTCTCAAGTTCCAACCGTTTTTCAAGTGACTGGAAGTAGCTCATATTTTGTCTTGCAGATCACTGAAGCTTGACATTGAAGGGTCCCAGAACTTTGAATTTGGATGCATATATCGATAGATTTTGTGGTGCTATTTACGAATATGGGAATTAAAACCGCCGAATGGCTCTCCCAGAATAGCCTGGGCTGTTAAAATTGACGTGGTGGTAGTGCTTTCGCTTTGCAGACGGAGTATGCAGGTTTTCTTTGTGCTACAAGATTTTTGGGACGGTTCTCCCGTTCTAGTAAAAACCTTCCCAGCGTTATTATACACTTATTCAAGCAGGCGCCTTTTTTCGGCTGTCCCGTTCGCAAACGGAATTTCAAATTCTGTCGAAATGTTTGGGTGTCCATTCTAAATTTTCCTGGTAATTAACTATTCTCTAATAGTGCCCTTTTTTTAATATATAATATTGGCTTCAATCCGTGCACTTGTTACCCCGTCGAAAAGCCTGGTCTTACGAAAAAAAAAATAAAAATATATAAGTTCTATGTATGGCTTTCTATGAACCTCGGCATGATTATATTACTGAGGTAAAAATAAACAAATAAAATTAAAAATTAAAATAAATAAATCGCACTTTGTAATGTCATGTCGAGATTTTTATGTTGGAACTACATAGATGATGGGCACTATTTCCAGCCGCCTTGCTAAAGCTCCAGGAGACGTTTCCATGAGTCCGCATCAACTCATATTGTGTTTATCAGCTGCTAGCAAAAAACTCTCAACGGTATGAAACCTCTGAATAGTTTTTGTTATGGAGACAGTAAGTGCGATGGGTGTTTGGGTGTTCGAATCATTTCTGCTGTATAATCCTTGCTTTTGAATGAAAATTTTCGGGACTCTTTATCTTTTCTGTTCGGAGACTATTGGCTTTCAAAGAGTTACTGTCATAATACACTCTGTTTTTGTTCTCTGATTTAATCGGTGGTTAGCTTGTTGCCCATTTCAGAATATATATAGAGGTGTACAATTACGAATATCCGAACTGAAAGAAGCGATAGATAAAGGGCGGATTTCGGAGCGATGTCTCAAAAGCCTCAATTATGTCGTCGATTGTGAGTTCTTCAATTTGCGTCATGGCTCGATTATTGTAGTGTTGGAGCACTAATTCAATCCCTCGTGATTATCTTACTCATTACAGCTATCGATAGAGGATGTTATGATGACGCACAAACTTTTTACGATCGCCTGAGGGCTGAATTTCCTGAAGAAATGGGCCCATGGGCTCAACAAGGTATTCGGCTATTAATTTCTGAGCTCCGACGACCGGCTTCACGAATCGGATCTGCAGGGCCACATCTCAGGACGCAGTAATAATTATACAGTATTGTACTAATTATACAGAACTTCTCAAGAGCACATCAATCACCCACTACCACCCGCCTTACAGACTAATTCCTTTTAATAAGTTGTGATAATTTCGGGTAGGCTGTGGTTATATTTACTTCATCCGTTTAATTCACATATACATAGAACCATTGCATATGAAATGAATCGAATCTAGGTGTGAACAGTAAACAACACNAGTTGTGATAATTTCGGGTAGGCTGTGGTTATATTTACTTCATCCGTTTAATTCACCTATACATAGAACAACTGCATATGAAATGAATCGAATCTAGGTGTAAACAGTAAACAACACAATTCGGCTTGTTTATAAGTATTTTATAATGTTGGTCATGGCTACCTATTTGTAACTAATTTATAAGTCCAACCTCACATAGACAATTTTTTGAAATGGATGAAAAAGCATTTTGAAACTGTGGCTATTCCCAAATGGAACTGTAAGCCAGGTTTAGCTCTTTTATATGTCTAAGGCCGTATGCAGCTTGAGCTTATGTCTCTTTATTTCTAACACATATCTTAGGTTGTAATTCAGATTTTGATGTAATTTGTGTGTAATTCAGATTTTTTTCTCATAACGTCTAGATCAAGCAGCATACGTTTGTTATGAATTCGCTGATTTTTGGCTTTTTTTTCGCAAGGTTTATTTTTCAAAGCTTTTTTCTGCATTTTACTGGGTGGGAATATATGTAATGTAGCATTTTCTCACTCGTTGTTCGCTATATTGTTGTAACTTCCAACGATTAATGTATTTTTCGCATTTCTTCTCGAGTCTTCTTTGGAGTAGGAGAGAACAGGTGTTTCGTTTCTCCAAGTAGCCATTTTGCTAAGCTTTGGCTGCTTCCACCGTGAATAATAGTGCAGGCACTGCAGGAGCGAACGCCATCGTTCTGAGTGGCTAGATGCAAGTTTTTTTTNNNNTTTTTTTTGTATTTTATGGTTCATGGTTGAGGTTTTGTAGAACATTTTTAGCGCTAGAATTGTGATTAAGTCATATGCTTGTTCAATGTATTTTGATTAATTCTATTTGTATTAATCAATTATTCTATTCGAGTTGATTCCTCTCTTACACTTTCATATTTTGCAAATTCTTCTCGAATGAGGATTCTCAATTTCTAAATGTGCTATTGTGATCAGAAGGAGTTTACAAAATGTTGCAAAAGAAAATACGAGATGTATGCTTTGGTAACAAAACGTTGGTATAGTCTAACATGGTCGAGTTGCTTGGTGGGACACTCACAGTTAGGAGTTAAATTTTGATTAAAATGTGATTCATCGATCGTGATCCGTAGTGGTGGCTTTTTGAGCCACGGACCAGGATTTACTTAGACTATACCATCGGTTTTTTTTGGGATTATTGGTTTGCTGCAGTACATTGCTATCTATTTAATGAAAGGTTGGATTTCTTTGTTCTTTTTTCCCTATACCGAGTTGTTGTTCAACAACGAAGTACTCATCGAATGTTTTTCGTCACTCAGTCTTCTTTCAAAATCGACAAGCAGATGCTGGTTTTTTGTACCAGACTTACCTTGATCTGGATCTCACCAATCTGAAATGTGTAGTGTGAATTTACATTAGTATTGGTCCGGTTTTTGTGAGGTCTTCACCTTGATGTGTTGGGAAACAAGACAACTTTCCGGGAGACGGGCGTTAGGAACGATTTTGGGTAATCGATTCGCCGCACGCGGCTGTCGCGGAGCACTCATTCGCCGTTATTACGGCTCTAGCGTTCTTCATACAGCTCAATCGATATGCGATCATTATTTTATTCATAATTCTACTATTAGTACTTTTGTTCTTGTGTTTCTTACCTACTGCTGCATCCTGTTACACACCTTCGCGCGCGACGCCCCTCTCACCGCGACGCGACCATTTCGTTTCTAATGCACCACACCCCAACTTTCCTTCAAGCTCTTAGCCGTGTTAAACGATGTAAAAAAGGGGTTCAGAAATCTGGGGGAAAAAACTCGAAAACAAAAGACCACTTGTTCCCCTCTTCCTCCGTCTCTCTTATTTAGGCTAAAGGCTTCATGGGGTGGGGGGGAGGCTGAAAGTGTACGTATTTTATTTTGGAGTAAAAGCTCTGTGTTTGGAAGGCTATCCATCACAACCATTCAGACACTCATTGATATTCACTTAACTTCGTAGCTATGAGCGTGACTGTTTATATAAATGGTAATTCGAGTCTATCATTTTAGTTACACTTAGGAAAAGGTTAAAGGCACAGTTCGCGATAATTCAAGGGGCGGATATGTCAGTGACGTGTCCGCCTCTCATTCGAAGTCACGTTAGACTGTCTGACGTGACATCGAATGAGAGGCGGACACGTTACTGACATACCCGCCCATTGAATTATCGCGAACTGCGCCTTTAAGGTCTAGTCCATCATAAATGATCCGCATGATAACCTAAGGAGGAAAGAAAAGTTGTTTGAGCGCTCATTTCTCAAGGCCCGATAATTACTAGAAAAAAGGCTCAATCGCAGAACGTGTCCATGCAGAATAGCATAGCGATCTTTTGGAATTTTCCCTTTTCCAGAGCGAGATGACGATAATGTTCTAATGTACCTATGATCCAGTGGTAGAGTCTTCAAGTCTGTCAATCTCTGAGCTTTGATAACTGTAATTTTATAAAAGCAAATACTTCAGAAAGTAACATTTTATCCTTGTTTCTCTCCCATTTCTGAATATAGTGTTGTTCAATTTTTTTGAATTTCCCTCGACAGCGCTTATAAAGGCATTCATTTTTTCATCGACGTCTCCAAGGAGATTCAGCGCCGCAGCATTTGTTGGAGTTATTCGCCTTTTTCGCAGTGATCTTTCATCCCGACTAGTTCCAGATGTTCTTAACACGTGCATTGCGTGGTAATTTGAATATACCGCATTGGAATCGCCGTGTATGGGAAATTGGCTACAGTGGTCCTCCTTTGCCAAAAAGGAAGGCGTGAGTTTTTCCTCTCATTTCAACTGCAAATAAGTTACTTACCTATGTAATTTTTGCCATTCGACTTTGGGCTGCTTGGATGTTAGAGAGTAGAATCTAATGCTCAGCTATCAACGGCGAGGCTCTCTAGGTTACTATTAGCTTGGTGCATAATTATTGCGGTTTTTTTGTGACTTCTTTTCTCTCGATAAAATAGAACTTTTGACTTCGGGATCTTTGTAGAAATAATCTTCTCGTTTTCCTCAAGAGAAATATGTCTAGAAAGTCATCTTCATATACGCCACAACATGCTCTATTACTTCGAGAAGGGCGGCACACTCATAACGTGATCTCAACGAACTTCTCGGTGATGGAACAGTCAGCCAAACCCGAACAAGGAATGGGATCTGCTTCCCTATTCACCAAAAGATACTCCTATAGATTATCGCGTCAATCGCCCTCTGAAAAATTGGTTAACGAACACAACTTTGGACGAAGTGGATGGCTTGATGGCCACGTCAAGGCGTGATCGCCTCCAAGAATCGAAAATTCTTCGCCTGTGGAATCCGACCGCCTAGCTAATGGGGAGCAGTGCTTGACGTACATGGTGGATATGATCCGGAGCAATTATTTNGACATGTCTTTGCTAGGTATTTCTATCGTTTCTTCAAGTAAAATTTGCTAAAAAAAACTGCAATAATCATGCATCAACCTAATAGTTATACTGGTTCTTAGCTATGACAGACTTCATTTTTGTTCCTCAGATTGGTATAATGGGAGCTACTCCTTCGCTTTTGTGAGGTAAGGAGCTTATTTAGAACCTAGCGTAACATATTTTAATTTGGGTATATTGACGTGTAGAAGAAAGGTCGAGAGCTCTTTATTCATGAATTAACTAATAGGGCAGAGATCATACTGTGTTAACTTTTGTTTTGTATAGGAGACGTTGTAAGCGTTAAGACATTTGTACCTAGATGAGAGGACACCAAAAGATCTTGAATTTGCTATCATCAATATTGCTACTATGTAAATGTATTTCGGGTGCATAAATGGTATAATGGTGTCACTTCCCATAGGGATTGGGGATGTTGGAAGAAGTCCTACCGAACGGAAGAGTGCTAAGACTCTTGAATAGTTCAGAGTTCGTGCATCAGTTAATGCTTTAGATCAAAGCATCTAACATGGAACATTATCATATCCTGTCATTTAAGTCATGTTGCTTTAGAACTGGTCGCCCAAATTATCCAATATCTAAGAATCAAGTGACCATCCTGCGAGATCGGTTTGCTCGAGAATATAATGTGATGAAGCTGCTAACTCGACCATATGTTACCGCGGTAAGTTCCTGTTCTTCCCTTTCTTTTTACTCACGTAAGTGCTTATTGAGTACTGCAAAAGACCCAAAACGGCTTTATAACTTCCTTTTCGGGATTTTATCATCGTTGTGTGCACGCTTTCAACTCAGGGTTTGTTTCAGTTTCTGTAACTACAATTTAATATATATATTTATTATTTATATTATATATAACCCCGCATATGCACTATATAAATGCACCTTTGTTGTTTGGTAAACATGTATTATGATACCCTTCTTGTTTTTGGAATTTGCTCACTAGAAATCTGTAACGCGTTTAGGAGGCTGAGTCTGACTATTTCGCATCGAAAAATGTCACTGGTCTCGATCAGATACGAGAACAAGAAAAAGCGAGAGCGGAGGCTTTACGTATGCCTGGAAAGGTTGGTCGCTATTTCTTACCTCTTTATTCATTATTTGCATGACCAAAGTGGTAGAACCAATCGAAGACTTTCTGATCAGCGTATAGCTATCATTGCATCGAATTGAATCATTCAAAGGCTCAAAGAAGCAATTTTACAGGCTAAGCGCGTGGACGGTTCTAAGAGAGCAATTAGACGTCGAGCAAACGTTGGAAATCTCTTACAAAAGCATATCACAGTCGAAGACAGCTTGGCAGAACTTATGAATCGTAATTGTTGGGATTAGAAAAAGGAACTTCAATTGTATGATGTATAGTGAGTTTCGTTTTTTATAATGTACCACAGAAAGTAGCAGTAGGAATGACTATAGGCGTTACAGTAGTCACCATATTATGGCGTATATAATTGCTCATATGTTTATTAGCTATTACCATAAACTTCTCCTTCCTTACAATCCAACGAAGATCTACAAGAGGTGGTAGTTCTTCAATACCTCTTATCTGAGAGGGACAGGGAACTGACCATAATTTGCATCAGAATGTGACCAGCTGCAAGGAATTAGCAAATAGGTGTTTGAAATATTTGTAAGAATGTTCTCAGGAAACTACCATTTTTCATTCTGTTCTGTTACATGTTTGTTACATAAAAATACATTCATGAATTTGTACCCAATCTCGCTCCAGTTTACCTAGAGCAGTTCTTTGTTCAATTTCAAGAAAAATTTGAGAAACGCATTCGAATAAATGAGGGAACTATCATTGCTTTGTGGGGTTTTTGGGATCGCTGAAGGTTTTTCGCGTGGTCTGTACTCAAGATCCGGAAAAGTTCTACTGTTGCTACAATATTGCCATGAAGCTTTGATGAAGTTTCTGTGCTTACAATTAGTTCTGCATTCTTTGAAGGGTGTGAGCATGATGATCGAGGGACAAGTACCTTGACTTGACCTATACTAAGACGTTCATTCAAATTGAAGTATACTCTTCTACTCAAATTTCCGCCTTTCTCTCACAGTTGGGGATCATTTTCCTAGGTATCACTTTGACAGATCTGAAATTCTCTCCTATCTTTCTCTTCCTTTAACCCGTTCTTTAGAAAATCCTTTTTAGCCAGGTTTTTAGCATTTTTGTAAGGTTTCTGTGCAGGCCTATTATACGTACAGGAGTGTTCTTTTTCAGTGATGTGTATCAACTATTCGAAAGAGATCAAGTGTATAATGTATCTGTACATTTATTACTGAACGAGGTATAAAACACGAATATCTACATCTCTTATTTCTTGCCTCCATAATATCTCGTCGTTGTGGTGTAGGGCAACGCTGTGGTGGAACTTCCATACGCTCCACTGTTGTAATTATATTGTCCGTTACTGTACTTCGAATTCATATTGTTACTGTTCATACTTGGATCATAGTATAACATTGAGTTGGAAGAGCTTGTGCTAGATTGATAGCAGCACGATGTGGAGGTTGGACCACAGCACCAGCTCTGAACGTTATCATACTGTTGGCCGTACTGATTGTTCGAGTTCGAGTATTGCTGGTTCTGTCCATAGTAGCCTTGGTTGCTGTTTGCCAGACCATAACCAGTACCATACTGGTACTGTTGTGGCTGGTTTTGATTCGGATAACCGAGGTTCGTGTTCAGAACTGCATCATAGTAACGAGTAGGTGAGTTCGAATTCGGATTGTAGTACTGGGATGAACTGGATGATGACCCACTGTAGTAGCCAGACGATTGGCTTGGGTTGTACTGCTGTGTACTATATCCTGTTGAAGGTGCATAGTAGGACGAAGATCCTGAAAAGATGGTGTAAATCGGATGAAATTTCGGCATAATGAAACGGAAACTGTGACTTTCTGATACTACGTTTCTGAAAACCGTCAAACTTCAGTTTGACCTCAAAATCTAGAATGTTTCAAGTGGGCATCAGGGATATAAAGGGTCAGGGACTTCGAAAAGCGCTAACATGTCTCTTTCTAACAGGTTCTAGGCCGATACCCCGGGGAGATCTGTGCCTTATAACACACAGAGGCCTATCTTTAAGCGAATGCTTGTTGTGCAGAAGCAAAGACAAAGTGCTTACAGATAATCGGGTGGGTCGTTGGCAAACAGAACGGTGATGATGAACGATAGTGTTTGGGGATTGATCGATCCCGTTAGGATTTGCCAAACATGCGATTCCCATATATCATAGTGAAGGATTTTGTTTCCATTATATGGCTGGGGCTTACCGCATGGTAGTCACTTTACTTCCATTGTTTTCTTTCATGGACAGGTATTACGGTGACCCTGTATTACGTGGTGAAAGGAAGAGAAGCTTTCCTGGCCTGAACGAAATCCATGATTACGCGGACCTCGAAAAACTGGGGTGATTTTAGTCCGTGTGTCAACACTCTTCTGTGCGAAACTTTATTCATTCGGCCACCAATGCTGACTGCACGGTTCCGTTGATCATCTACAGCTTTATGAATGTATCCATGCTGATTTGCTTCACATAGGCTGCTACACACTCTCGTCCAAAACCGCTGTCCAGAATAACGATGAGGGGAGTTTTCCTTTCCAGTTTATCTGCTTATTCAAGGAAAATATTCCATAGACGATGACCTTTCTTCTTTCCCCCTCCCTCCTTTCTTTCAATGGAATGACCTCGTTGAATGGTTGAAGCAGCTCGCCAAGCGGCCTTCGTGGTTCCATCTTTGTTTGGTGTCTGTGAAGCTCGGATTTATCGACCTATAGCTTCGATGGATGAAGACAACGCAGGTTGTGCAAACAACTTGTGGCAACCACTTGTGGTTCACAGTTGACGTATGCTCACAAATTCTACACAGCCAGTCATCATCACACATTCTTAACCGGACTGGGTTACGTGAATTCAGCCTTTTCTTAAATTCGAGTGTTATAAACTGCTGAATTCGATGCCATAGTTGTGATGCTTTGCCCATATTTTTGAGTCATCCTCTGCTGATACTTGGTTCGAGCTGAGTACGGTGTACACACAGATGACTCAAGCAATTCCACCCTTACCAGCTTTGAGCTGGAGCATCCGTGGATTTCACTTGGAGATACCACTTTTGTTCCCAGCTATCACACTTTGTTGTTTTCTTCTCGATGGTGCTGTTATGATCAAGCATATTTGATGCAATTCAGTGCAAAGCGGGGGAAAACAACAGTTTATACATATCAATTCAATCAATACCGGTGTTTTTTTTTACATTCTGTACAATATCTAAATGAAAATCCTGCTTTGAAGCTTTAAAAGAATCGAGATATCACCCGTAGTTAGCGGAAACAACAAATGCCAAGGCTTGTTTGTAGGAGGTTGCTAGCCTGAGCTGAGTGCGCTCCATATGTGTTGCTGGCTTTTTGGTTAGGTTGAGGAAATCGAAGCTGATTAGAAGGATAAGAGTTCATTCTGCTCAAAGGGCTCTGGTACGGGTAGGTTGAGCCGGAAGGTGCGGATCCTGATTGAGCTAATGTCGGAGGTGGAGCTGGAGGTGCTCCACCAATAGTGTCGAAAAACGCCTTGTTGAGGGCTTGTGTGTCCTTTATCCTTTGTTCGTTTGTATACCGATCACCCTGATAATCAGGCAAGTAACCTGGTTCACTGCCGGTTGACTGGGAACTTGAAGCTTGCGGAGTATTCAGATACTGGTTAGAAGAAATAGAGGGAGCATTGGTGTTCATAGTACTGAAGGATGACTGCTGTGGGTAAGCAGAGCTTGTGAAGACTTGTCCAGATCGAACAGGTGCCGGTGAAGGAGCAGGCGGAGGTCCACCGATAGTGTCGAAGAATGGCTTATTAAGTGCTTGTGTGTCCTTCATCCGTTGCTCATTTGTGTTCTGATCGCCTTGGTAATCAGGTAAATAGCCTGGTTCGCTGTCGGACAACTGCGGACCTAAAGCTGGAGAAAAATTTGTTATTAGGATAAGAGGAGAGTATTACTGGGATCTGCAACTTCGGGAATCGACGTTTAATTCGCCTCTCATTTTTAGCATTTAGAAAAACTCTAGAATTACCATAAAAAGTAGATGGTTTTTATCAAAAAATCGAATGTGAGATCATGGGTTTGTGGATTTTTGGGGCACTTAAATCCTGAATCCAGCCTTTTGAGAGGCTAGCTATTCGGTCTATAAACTGAATGCGCTATATCAGTCAATCCAGCAAGGAATTGGTAGATGATTTGAATGGGATCAGGGTTTGTAATGTGCTTGAACTAGTGCTACGGATAAAAGTTCATTTACACGGCGAATGGAAAAAGGACCAATTAGCAAAAAAAGCACAATTCATAGTTTTTTTTTGTTTTGTAGTATATGCTAATAGATAAATAAACTAACCGTACTGCCCATTACTGTATTGAGAGGTAGCCAAGGACACAAACAACGAGACTAATCTGTAATTTCTTGGGGTTTTTTGCTTTATGGAGCTTTTCAGATGTAAATGAAACCTTTAGTGAACTTACAGTAAAAGCATCTCGTTTCTAGAAGACAACGGGGAAGGGCGGGTTCAAGTGTCAGTCGGCTTGGTGTATTTATAGCCGTCATATAGGTATACAAACATTCCACGTAGAATTCTTGGGTTGTCGAGGCGGGAAGCTCCGCCTTTCCGGAACAAGTACTGGATAAACGGCCTTTCTACTTGGTGAGCACGGATAAACATAAACGTTTTGAGCTACTGGGTGAGTGAATCACGTAACTGGGAAACTAATTTTTTAATCCTCCCCTATAAATTTTACATTAATCCTCCTTTATTCCGGAATTCGAGAAAATATTGATACAGGGTTTTTGTCACATGATCAACTGCTTTGTTTTCTTGAATGTATACTTTTTTTTCTGGAAACCCCCCTCTGAAATGGAACCCCTTCATAGATGGAACCAGTAACAATCAAGATACGTGTGTGCTTCTCCTTACCCTTAGCAGAGAGGGGGCGCTGAAAAACAAGTTTATTACTATGAAGATAATGGAGGCGTAAGCAAAAGTTCACGTGAAGGACCGAAAGTTCACAATCCATCGGGAACAAAAATTGGAACCATATAACAACAAAGTCACTCCAACGAAGTAGAAGAATTAACAAAGGAAGGTTATAACAAAAATAGAACAGTATAAACTCTGGAATAAGGAGTATTTGTAAAGGTTAGAAGATGAAATATTTCTAGAAAGTTTGAAGAGGAAACGACAGTAATGACATACCTAATTCACTCGTGCAAAATAGTTGGTTGAACTTGGACAGAGCCGTCTTAAGCATTGGATTGGCGACATGGCGCAACAATATAAGCAAACTACATAGTTCTCGGAATTGTCATATCGCCGCATACGCCGTGCACATTCGCATTGTCCAAAAAAGACCTTAAAACATCGTCTTCTACGTCTTATGGATAAAAAACTCTCCACTCCCCATCGTAACTCGTAACATGACTTATTAATATAGTAAATCGATGTGAAGGCTCGGTCAAGCCATGCCATATTCTTCTAGATAAATCGTTTGTGGTCGACAAGTAAAGATGGGGGTTCCTGGACGGTAAAGTACTGATTTTTGGCCATTTCGTCAGTTCGCCTGATATCACTGCGCCTGATAATATGACGACAGCTTAGATTACTTTGGAGCTCTATGAAACCTCCAATAGTTTTAGAGATTCAATTCCAGTACCCTTTCGCGAACTCTATAAGTTGTAACAGGGGCGTATTTTCTGGTTTGGGGCCTTCCAAGTCACTTTAGCTCCAATGAGAACGTTTTTCCCACTTTATGATTAGTCCTCGAACAACCACCAGCCAAAACACTACTGCCAGCAGTCATCTACTTTTTCTTGGTTATATCTATTTTCCC